AATTCAAAATAATATAAAACTGTGTTTGCCTACTGACCTGCCAAGTAGCAGCTATGGCAAAATGTAATATGAGGCAATCTATATGGTGGTTCTATGTTCAGCAGTGGAATTTTATAGGCTATATTGGTTTGGACTCATTAGAACATTTGATCTATAATGACATAGGATTATACGTGGTAGAGCCACGCTGCCAGTATATTATGGTTGTAGCACGAAGGGGTCGTCTCGACCGGGGAAGGATCACGCTCTCACAGAATACCAGCGTAAAATAGCACCTCAATACTGCTGTGTTTCGTATAGTGAGTGTAGATATCTGGAGACTCACTTTTTTACTGGAAACGAGGCATTCCATCTTAATCGTCAGGGGTGACAACGCATCTGCGTTTTGATTCTTAATCGTGAATAAATGTAGATGTCTATGTGCCACAGCATCCACTTACCATCAGGTGGACTGTGTGCTCGTTTGTCATCCTCATTCTATATAAAAAAGATTTAGATACGCTGAAAGTGTAACAGAAACCATCACAATAAATATACAGGCAACACTGCAAATGCTCAAGTAAGGTATTAGAATGTTTTGTGTTAACATTTTAATACCTAGACTGGCCTACAAGGAAGCTTAAAGTCGCTCAGTACTCAGCTCAGCCCAGCTAAGGACAGAGTCCCGTCCTCGAGCTCGGAGTTTCTCTCCGTGATAGAGTCGGTAACGGTCATTTTCTTAGTAAAAGTAAGTAGAGTAAGTAATGAAGTATCCGTATTACAGTGGCTAAGCGTTTGGTCTTAGCGCTATTAGTCGCAGCTTCGAATTTCGTATGTACCAATATTTGTATTGCCTGCAAATGATAAGTCCATGATAATAAGACAAAACTTACAAACTCGTGGTCGCGCAATTTATATTTAACTTTGTGGTTAAAGAACATAAAAAAAAATTGAAAGCCGAGTTCGCTAACTTGTATTCAAAAAGACCATGCCTAGCGCGTATCTAGCATGACATAAGTGCGAGGACAGTTTCTCATCCAATTACGGTAGATCGTTTTCGTTAGATCACTGTTTTTGTAGTAACTGTTTGCTATTGTGAAGTTCGTGGTAATCCTCTTCTAGTTCTAACTGTACTTAACTTCGTGACACAAAATTTGTCAAACTTAATGGAATTTATTGAGGTGTAAAACAAACCGTACCTTACGTTATATCTGTAAATTAATGTTTCATTCCATTCTATTTCCATTGGCGTTTATGGCGTTTCAGAAATGATGTAAAATTCTTATTTTATAATATTCATTGACAATCGAGTTAACTGTTCAACTGATGGTAAATGGCTTCTGCGGCCTGGCTTAAATATGACCACTTGATAATGAAAAAATAAGAAAGTAGAAGCTAAGAAAGATGCAATTTAACTAGTTCACTTGTACACGGTATATCCGAATGTATTATCGAATCATTCGGGTGGCACTGGGTGTTCGTCGCAAAATTGCATGTCAGAGTTATCACTATCAGTCATGTGTATATTGTAATTTGACACGACCGAATAACTATTCATAGAAAAAACGTATTAAATAAATTTACCCGGATTATCATAAATAACACCATGATTTTATGTTTCCTTTTCTACAATAAACGTTAATAAGATATAATAATATGTAGATAAATACGATCGCTGTACGTCTTTCAATCATCTCTGTTAATCAAACAGCTATTGCTGAATTACGGATACTAAAGATATACCAAGAATGAAGAAAGATAGTTTATCAAAATATATCAAAAACATAGGCTATATCTTTTAACTTCAACATACTTTACCATTAAAAACATACGAGGGTGGATTGAAAAGTACTCGGCCTAACACAGATCCATTCAATTCTAAAAATCAAATCTACCCGCATTATTTAGTTCAGTTCAGACTAGTTCATTGTGTGAAGTTCGAAACGTGTGCGATAATTAGTTGTGATTTTATAAATTTATTAACAAAGTAATCGGACATAATTTCCGCGAATGGAGCAAATCAAGCAGCGTGCCGTCATTAAGTACCTCCATAAGAAGGGGCTATCATCAAAAGCCATCCATGATGACATGGTCAGTACATTAGGCGATTGTGCTCTGTCATATTCATCCGCCAAAAAATGGATAGCAGAATTTAAGCGTGGTAGAGAGAGTGTGAAAGATGAACCCCGCTCTGGACGGCCTTCGACGTCAACTACTGACGAAAATATTAAAAAAGTACTTGATTTAATAATGGGAGACCGCAGATTAAAAATTAGAGAGATAGCCGAGATTATAGGCATCTCTTATGAATGAACTCAAAACATCATTGTCAACGAGTTGGGTTTCCACAAGGTGTCTGCGAGGTGGGTTCCGCGACTGCTTTCAGTTGAACAAAAAAGGACGCGATTGACTATTTCACGCGACTGTTTGGAGTTATTTGAAGCCGATGCAGATGATTTTTTGAATCGTTTTGTTACTATGGACGAAACATGGGTTCATTACTGTACACCGGAAACAAAACAACAATCAAAACAGTGGAGAAGACCTGGTTCACCACCCCCTAAAAAGGCTAAGTCGATTTTGTCGGCAAATAAGGTGATGGCTTCAGTATTCTGGGAGTCGAAAGGTGTGATTATGATTGATTATCTTGACAGGGGTCAGACTATAAACTCTGATTACTACTGCACCTTACTACGTCGTTTACGAGAGGAAATAAAAGAAAAACGTCGAGGAATGCTCAGAAGAAAAGTGCTGTTTCATCAAGATAACGCCCGTGTTCACACGTCAGTACAGTCAATGGCTGAAATTCACAACTGTGGCTTTGAACTGTTACCGCATCCGCCGTATTCACCTGATCTGGCACCATCAGACTTCTTTCTGTTCCCTAACCTAAAAAAGCACTTGGGAGGTCAAAGATTTTCGACAAACGACGAGGTCAAAGCAGCTGTAGACGCATATTTTGACTCTAAGGAAGAATCATTTTTTTTCAACGGTCTAAATGCTTGGAAGGGGAGGTGGCAAAAGTGTATTGAACTTGATGGTGATTATGTAGAAAAATAAAAATATAACTGATTTAGTATGTGTTTATTTTCTTGGTTAGGCCGAGTACTTTTCAATCCACCCTCGTAACTTGTAAAAAAACCAAGTCGGTTAATTTATTTAGTCCCTACTTAAAAGGGTCCTTATGTCTTAAGTTATTACGTAATTAGCTAGCCTAACAACATCTTATTGTGACCATATCAATATTAAAAAACTTTTATGTTTTAAATAAATAGCATCGCATGAAAACACAATGTATCTCATAATTAATACATGTTATATTAAATTAGATTGTTTATTGCGATTGCCAAGTCAGATACTATTATGGGACAAATTTCTCTATCCTGTCCTAACGATAATAACCCAGCCGTTATGTGCACATAGTAGATTCATCTCAAGCCGTCCCATTCATGTTGCAGCTGTAATGGTAATGTATGGATTTACTTGAATTTATCCTGTCTGCTACTCTTTATAGCCCATTACGGAGGTTGGCGGTAGCGGCCACCTAGCAGGAGTAATCGTGCTTGATGGCTAAAATGGGCAATAGAAATACCACCTTGATCATGGAACCGTAGTTTTTTTTTATAAAAGTCAAATTGCGCTGCATTGTAACTATTAATGCATTAACGTATTACATTATTGTAATAATTTATAATATTATTTATGTATTCTACTAATAAAGTTTTCATTCAGCGGACTTTCGTTAATTTTAGACGATGCTGTTGTAACTTTTTGTTTCTTATTTAAAGTATATATGTATAGTCCGTCATATTATCCATATGAACTTCACAACTCCTTAAATTCTAGTCCTATAGAAAACTTCCCACAGCGATGACTGATAAAGAGCATCCCCTTATTATGGTTTGGGTCCCGAGACGTCTCGTGTCTCGAAGTCCCGGGACTTTTCGTAATTTTACTTGTCTCTAGTCCCGGGACTTTCAGGTCGAGACTTGAGACGAAATTGTTATGTGATCATTTTTATTTTCAAATAATTGAAGGAGCCTGACACCATTTGTTGGGTTAATAAGTAACTACTACGTAACTACTGAGTACACAACACCACAAATGCGTTTGTAGTAGTTGTTGTTTAACGTTATTAAAATTAGTATGATTTTTAGCTAAGATCGTTTTATAACTATAAGATTTAGCTGTTTGAAAGTGGCGGTTTTAGGGCAAGGGAGAGTTCTCTACGCTGCTCCACTCAGTTATAGGTTTCCACACAATGGTTTTGCTAAGCGCCGGGCACATATTAAATTAGAACAACTTAACGTATGTGGAGATTGAATTTGTGTGTGATTAAAAGAAATAAACAAAGCAATTATTAAGACTGAAATTAACTTTAAACTTATCAAGATTTAATTTTCTATTTAATAAATGTTAATTTTTACAAAAAATTCTTCAAAAAAGGCTTACCGCCTTTAAAAATTCTTTTTCTAAGTCTTGATTGTTGGCTATCTCGTGTCCCGGGACTTTGAAATTGTCGGGAATTCCCAAACCTTACCCCTTATACATGTCGTAGGTTTATAACCAAACCTAGATTTTGGTCAATAAACCTAGGCTTTTTTGATCAAGAACCAGAAGAAGACAAAATTACTACTTTATGAAAACCCTGAGAAAATCCAGTTTTAGATAAAAATCTAGACTGGTTTAATTTTATGATAAAATCAGTGTCGGTTGCTACTTCTTTGAATAAATAAAACAAATAATCTAACCTAACCTAAGCTTAAATTTTATCATAAACCTAACCTAACCAAGCTCAGATTTTTGATTAAGAAAAGGATTTTTTCAGGTTAATGATGAGATTAAGTAATAATTTTGTCTTCTTCCGGTTCAGATTTTACCATAAACGGCATACACATAACCATTTACACCATTGGCACTATTAAATACGTTAAACTCTTTTTATCATTTTAATTTTATTTATCGATTGTATTATTCTGTTTTTATTCAAACCCTGTTATTAATTGTTTATTAATTTTCAGCAGAGAAAACACGAACAGCACAAAACGCTAAATCAAACACCAATAACGCCACATCAGACACCGCGCCAGTGCATACAGCCGGTTCTAGAACGAACCTCTCTTCGAGCAATTCTAGATCGAACCTCTCCTCGATCAATTCTAGAACCAACTCGAAGGATAGCGTCAACGAGGATTCTATTAGTCAGAGTTCGTTTGGTGGCGGAATAAAGGGCAAACTGGCGGCTTTGTTTAATAAAGAGCAGACGATAAGCGAGACGACAATCACCAATAAATTTAAACAGGAAAGAGAGAAAGAGATGGAGATGTTGCAAAACAGATTCCATTATAAGGTAAGAATATTATATTTTCACTTTTAGATACTTAGTAGTTCAATGTTAGTTCAGGAGCTAAGCAGTCGCTGTAAATTTCAGTACGCAATCAACCAAGGTTCTATCTCAAACTGAACCAATAAAATTGCTTAAATGTAAAAAAGTACACGAGCTAACGGCCCTCCTGATGAAGGGCTACTTCAGCTCAATGACACCTGCTACCAACTTGACACAGAAAGCCACAGATACGTTGTCCCTATTGAGGATTATGATGAGATTCCTCACAGTCTGTCCTGCCAGCAAGCCTTTCAAACCGAAACGCTGCGTTAGCGGTGCACTGTGCCGAGCGTGACAACTTTGGCAAATATTTCAGCAGTGGGATTTCAATGGGCTGTAATGAACGAAGAAAAAAATGTTAGTCTTATTTTCATTAAAATTACGTGTAATATAAGAACTACAAAAGTGTGTTCAATTATGTTTAATTTATTGTTTTGATCCTCTATACCAGAGAAATTCTTAACATAAACTCGTATTCATATGGAATGAAATGTGGTATAATACTTTTTCTATGCTTCCTCACGATAAATAAGCTCCTACGATTTTGTGATAATTCAGAAGAATGTATAAATATTTAAAATGATAGATGGCATTTTAATATCTACACATAACTTTTATTAATAAAGAAGAATGTTGCTACAACCATTAGAAGCACAAAAAAACTGGAATATGCCAGTGGCCTCGACTCGCTTTTTCACTAAGTTAAGACTAGTTAAATTTAGTGGATATCGGTCCAGGTTTCTGTCTGATGCAGGAACTGAAAAGGCGACTTACCAAATAGTAAATTTCGCGCTAAAATTACAATGAGCAACCGGTGTCTCAGAGAATACCTAGTCTACATAATCAACCACACAAGCGTTAATATTCTAAGATTCCGTATAAAGCCGCAATTGCATCGATACGGACACCGCATCTCAGATAGCTTTGAACCTAGTTGTGAAGTTCTCGGGTGTCGTTGCACACATATCATATCATACCTTTACGGTATCTATTCACATACTTTCGCGTCTATAATAGGGCAGGTCGGGTCCTAGAAAATAACACTTAACTTAGATTTCTAGTTTAGAGAAATATTTAATGACTAACTTCTGGCTTCGCTCGCGTGTATTTTGGGGTTTTAATGTTTTAACGCGAAACCCTAATTATTTTTCTAAAGTAAAAGTAGTTTATGTTACTCAATATAAACATCAGCTATCTGCCAGTGAGTCCCGTCACTATCGGTGCAGCCGTTTTGGAGATAAGCCGGAACAAACAAACATACAGACAAAAGTTTTAAAAATTGTGTTTTTGTTATAAGTACCATATATACTTTCATGTGCATTTAGTATAGATATGAATAAGTTGAGATGATTTACACGTCACATTCGTACACAAACAACGCAGAAAGCATTGTTCGGTGTTTAAACCTGATAATGATGTCCTTATCTTTTTTTTTATACACAACAATCATTCATTTTTATATAAATACAGTCTACCTGAAGGTAAGTTGCTGCCTTCGCCCGATAGACACTTATTTTATAATCAAAGCCTATTTCTGTCCTCTATTAAGAATTAAAATGCAGATGTATTGTCTCATTATCATAACAAGTGGTAAAATTAAAAGTTTTGTCTTACCGACTTCAATATAAATAAAACGAGAACATCATCAACGTATTCGAAATCAAATGAATACGTATTATTAAGGAAAACTCAAAAACTACTGATCAGATCTTGATAAAATTTATATGGGACCACACGAGAAACTAGCTTTCAAATAAAAAAGAACCATCGAAATTGGTTCTCTAGAAAAAAGTTCTGAGGTAACACACAAAAAAAACATACAGTTGAATTGAGTACAGTTTTCCTCCTCCTTGAGGTTGATTTTACGTTCATATTCTGTGAAAGCGTGTTCGAACTGACTCTTTTCTTATGCAGCCACAATACAGCTGCAGCTTGTCTTTACCACGTATTATAAAATATATTCTATCAGTCTAATATCAACTACGACTTTGACTTCCGAAGCTATTAAAATGGTTTAGCGTGGTAACGGGTATAGATCTTTTTTTTTTCTTAATAATTATATCTAACTAGCGATCTGCCCCGGCTTCGCACAGGTGATATCTGGATTCTACAACAGCACCAATAATGCTGTTGTAGACCGAAAGCCGTCGTAGCTCAGATGGTTAAAGCTCGCTGTAAATATAACAGAACGCGAGTAATCCAGGTTCGATACCGGCCGGCACCAATGAAATTGTTAATTGCAATTTTAAGTGATGATTTACTTCGTGCTCGGCGGTGAAGGAAAACATCGTGAGGAAACCTGCATGTATGAGAAATAAGAAAAAAATATTTCGAAGGCATGTGAAGTTCGCCAACACGCATTGGGGCAGCGCGGCGGACACTTCCTTGCCCTAAAACCCTCTCAGAAATGAGGGGGAGGCCTGTGTCCAGCAGTGGGACGTATATAGGCTGTAACTTTACTTTTTTTGCCATTTACCGGGTCCAACTATGCCTATAACCTTCGCGGACGTGCAAGCAATATGTTGACAAAGTTTTACAGCAATCTGATGAACGGTATGGCAGCGCATAAAATACGAACAAACGAATATTATTTTTTATATATTAGATTCACACCTCTGTCTTTGTTAGAAACCTGGCAATAACAATTGCTAATACCCGAAGGTATTAGCAATTGTTATTGCCAGGTTTCTTTTAAAATTAACTTTACCAAAATCATTTCAACAAAACATTCGTTGTTTTGTCTCTAACTCATAAACTCTATATAATATAGTAAACTCTCTAACTTTATCTTTATAATCAAGAGACAATAAAGTTAAAATTACAGCCTACTACGTCCCACTCTTGGGCACAGGCGTCCTCTCATTTCTGTTTTATTGCTAGGAAAAATCCGCCCCGTTGCCCCATTGCGTGTTTGCTAGACTTCACATGTCTCCGATTTTTTTTAATAATTTTCTAAGACATGCAAGTTTCCTCACGATGTTTTCTATATCACGTGATAAATAAGGACCATAAATATTATAATAATTGTATCGGAAATTAACTTCGCACATTTCTTATGTTGTCTATATTTTTATATTAATCTAATCATAAACCAGTACACAAGTAGAACACTTTAATGGCAATTATAAAATTATAAATACTTAATTTAAATTTTATACGTGGTAGAGTCATGCTGCAGTTATATTAGTATTATAGTTGTGGGGGGGGGGGGGGCCCCCGCCGGGGGGGGGGTTGTACACGAAATGGTTCGGCTCGACCGGGGAAGGACCACGCTCTCACAGAATACCAGCGTCAAATAGCAGCTTAATGCTGCTGTGTTTCATATGGTGAGTAGAGAGAACCGGAGACCCTTTTTAGTGGTAACGAGATATTCCATCTTAGTCCTCACGGGTGACAACGCATTTGTATTTTGGTTCGTAAACGAAGGTAGATGTAGACGTCTACAGCAACCACTTACCATCAAGTGGACTGTGTGCTCGTTTGTCACCCTATCCTATTAAAAAAAGTAAAGATTGTGAAAGATTCAATGATTTGTTGCTCACCTCCTTTATTAATGATAACCTGGTACCTTCTATGAAGTACAAGTATCTGTGAGCGTTCAAGACTGTAGGCTGACAACATTAATCGCTAATGCTAGTTTGATGGTTTAACAAAAATAACTGGAAAGAAAGTAAAAACAAATATTAACTTACAGAAAAATTCTAATACATGAAATAGTCCTTAAATAGTGAGGTTGATAGCTAACACTGAAGCTGTACATAAATAGACACCGCTCCTGACCCGAGATATTCCCGTCCCGACTTCATTGCGTTTATTTTACTTTTATTAACATATCCTATAATGAAAGGTAAATATATATTAAGTATTATTATTTATACACATGTGGTAGCTACTTAATATTCACGCGTATGTATTAAATAATATCTATGTATATAAAGAGTTGAAATTTAAACTTTATGCGTGTGAAGGTATTGAATTGAAAATTAAGCGAAGTTTCTTGACGTATTTTTTTTTAGTATTGTAGGGATTTTATATGTGAATATTAATTTTGTATTTGATATCGTAGACAAATGTTTAAACTTTAGAATTATGTCGCCACTACTATTGTAAATGTTATCGAAGCAATTAACGTAATTTTTTGTACTAAGTACCTACTAAAACTACTTAATACATGTGTACGATAAAATAAAATCTTTACACATCCGATGTACGAATTATTCACTCGGATGACTAACATTACGTCGTTATCTTGCCTAACACGGTCTAACATCGAGAAATATGCACACAATATGTGTTAACATAGGCCTACGCAAGTTTCTAACCTTATTTTAAATTGTTTCCCACGGACGTCATCGTAGCCGTACTAGGATTTTGTGAGATGTGTGCTTTTTTACCACAGTCGTGTACAATACAAACATGAAAATATCTTTCGTATATTTAACGTTGGAGGTGTCATATCTTAGTCCCTTTGACTTACAAATCCACAACATGGCCTCTGATATCTAAGCTACCCTTTAGGCTTGCCCCACCCATCTTTAATAACCATATGTTTCTGTTTCAGCCTAAACAAGAAGATACTCAACAGCACAATGACTCTGATGACGATCAGAGCGAGCATGATCCCTCTGAGAAGGCCCCTTTAATGGGCAGTACGACAAGCCTATCCCTAGCGAGCAAGAAGGCTGAAATTGTATCCAACTTGCCCAAAGTTACCTTCGATGAGAAGGAATCTGAAACACCCACTGATAAGGAGGATAAAGTTGTTGCCTCACAACCTGTAAAACGGAGAAGTGAGTTTTTTATTTTTTGTTTTGAGAGCTTCCGAATTAGGGCTACGTTTTTCGAGTATACGGATGTGTTTACCTATTAGTTTGGCGCGATGTTCAGCCTACGGCTCAATGCCTTTTAACGTAATGTGCTATCATTAAATTTGTCTTAGTAGTGAAAGTGACATAGAGTTTAATTTTTATTTCTTTTCAGTAAATTTTCTTTCTGAAACAGTCGGGTTTTTTACCCTATTGGCTTCTTTAGTCCTTTCAACATTAAAGTTATTAGAAATCTTAGCATGGGTTGGTTCGAACGAGGAAGGACCACGGTGTCAGAATACCAGCGTAAAATAGTAGCTTAAAGCTGCTGTGTTTCGTATGATAAGTATAGAGAACCGGAGACCCTTTTTACTGGAAACGAGGTATTACATCTTAGTCCTCACGGGTGACAACGCATCTGCATTTTGATTCGTAATCGAGGATAGATGTAGATGTCTATGGGCCACAGCAACCACTTACCATCAGGTGGAATGTGTGCTCGTTTGTCACCCTATCCTATAAAAAAGAAGGATAATTGTTTTTCGTAGGTATAGTATATGTATGTATGTATTTCTATTTGTTTGCCACGCTCTGTAGTCTGCACGGCTTGATGGATTTTAACATATGGGATGTCGTTAGATTCGTTAAGTTGTGGGAGTTACATAGAGTTTAAAAAAAATCTCTTTCTAGTAAACTTTTTTACGCGGTCGGGATTTTTTCAAATCACTGTTTTAACCAATGGGCTTGTTTATTAATCTAATTATTTCAAAATTAAAAACCTTTTTTCATCTTATCTTTGTGTAAATAATGTAAAATATAGTAATGATATCGAATCGATTTAATAATTTCTTTGCCGTTTATGAGCATGTATGTCTGAAAGAACACGTCCAAAAAATCCTTGATATTTTCGTTCACTTTAAAGTTTTATTATCTATTTTATTAAACGAGTCCTGACAGCAGAGGTCAGTCACTGTTAATAAGAGCCTTAAAACAAAAATAAAGTATACGAGTAAAATGATAACCGCAAAGTCCTTCAGCCGTTTTATTTATAGAATTAACTTTAAAGTAATGGTTACCAGCCACAAGATTTACTCACCTGTCAAACATGTTAACTATTGTACACTATTTTACACGTGGTAGAGCCACGCTGAAGTTATATTAGTAGTATAGTTGTAGTACGAATGGGCCGGCTCAACCGGGGAAGGACCACGCTCTCACAGAATACCAGCGTAAAATAATAGCTTAATGTTGCTGTGTTTCGTGGAGTGAGTGTATATAACCGGAGATCCTTTTTACTGAAAACGAGGCATTCCATCTTAGTCCTCACGGATGACAACGCATCTGCATTTTGATTCTTAATCGAGGTTAAAAGTAGATTTCTATGGGTCACAGCAAAAACTTACTTACCAACAGATGGACTGTGTGCTCGTTTTCACCCTATCCTATAAAAATACTTCTTAATACATAATACTTACATAGTACATATAATATGTATATTTAAAGGTCCTTACTATCTTACATAAATATTAATTATAATTAGTATTGATTAAATTTTGGTTTATCGTTTTTTTTTTTACCGACGTTTGGGTGTTTCCAGCACCCATGGTCACGGGGGACAGCTATTTCCCCGTATGGTAAATATAATGATTTCATTATGTACGCGAACCAGTACGGACTGGAATTAACAGTACCCCCGTGACCATGGGTGCTGGAAAGCATCTGAAACGTCGGGTATTAAAAATAAAATAAATAAAACGCGATAAAATCCGTAAAAGTAGTTTTAATCAATGTATAGTGTTCGTGTAAATATAAGAAATCATTTATAATTAGTAAATAATACTTACGTTATCATTCATAAAAATAATGTTTATTTTACAGGCTCTCAAGATTCACAAGTGGTTCTTTCAGTACTCGATGATGTAAAGAGGATAAAAGTAAACAATAGCAAAGAAACAAACGGATCTGTGCTTCCGCAACCGACTATCTACCCACATTTGTCAGATATTGAGACTGATCATTCCAATTCCCAAGAGGAGTATTCTGACTGTGGTGGCTCAAGGTGTGGACACTACGCCTTGGAATGCGTATTTTTCTTCCTTTGCATTTGAACATTGTGGTTTTCTTCGATCAAATGTTCGAGTTTGTCCTTTTCGCTTGTCAATGTCTAAACAAACGTTTGGTACAAATAATATTTGGTAACGCCTGTTGGATTAAGTTACAATCGGACTGCCATCTGTTAATTGTTCAACTTAGAATGACGGACGATACTTTGATGAATTGTTTATATATATTTTATTTAAATGGTTAAATAAAATCAAAATCCTTTATATATAATAGCAAATAGAAAAAAACGCACAGATGGCGTTTCTAGCCATAAATATTATTTATTTAATATGTTAAATTAGGTACATTAATGAGCAAAAGGTCCATATTATTACAGTTTTTAGATAATTTACACTCGATCGTAAAATATTTACTTGAATTTAGACAAGAACTATAAAAATCTTTGCTATACTTCTTCTATCTTTACTATACTTGATTTTAACGAGATAGCTTTGTAGAGCACAACTACCAGTTGACATTGACATGTTACATATTACACTACTTGCTCTAGATGCGGGTGCAATGTCGGCTCCTATCTATCATAGATTCTATTAGTACACAACTGTACGTGTTTGGTTAGAGTTGATAAAGATGTAATCAACTTAAATTCAGAGTTAGTAACTCATACGTAATCGTAAGCATATCTAAACTTTTCTTTATTAGTATTATAGTATCGCTTTTTCTACATGTCGTATGATTTTATTAGATAATGAAGTATTCGCAGACGGTACGTTTTGGTAGTTTTTGGTAAAAGTTACAAAATACTTCTTAATTGGATACAAAAAATGCTTAATTTTAACAATGTCTTGAGTGCCTAATATAATCGGACTGATCTTTTTCTACATGTGTTGTATATACGATATTTGTAAATTTTTATCTCGAAGTTTCTTACGCAAATAAGTGTATGGCCGATGCGAGTGGATCGACCGGTTCTTAAGTCCACATGTGTCTAGGTTTTACAATTGGAAAAGAAAAATACTTCGGAGTAAAAATAAAAATACGTTGTTCGTGGGGCAATAATAATTAGACTTAGAGAGAAGATAATGCATTTGATCATTCGTTGATATTTATTAGGCAGACCATATTAATATGATCTATGTTATTTCTTAAAGCCCTTTATTGAAATTAAATACGATATATTTCTCTGTTCCATGTAAAGATATGAAATTTCGTTTATTAAATGATTTTTTTTTCAAATCTTCAACTGTTTCGAAATGAGTTTCGTTCTGTAACTTATGCATGTATTATTATGGACTATTTAGAGCTTATTAATGAATATAGAACCTGAGCAGACAAGCCTCAAGCACCTGATAAGAAGATTTTGTTAATATTGTAGTTTTTTTTTCAGTAAGCCTTAAGGTTGCTGAAAGGTTGCTGAAAAATGCGGTAGTTGAATTAAATTGATAAACGATGCAGACTTTGAGGAAACTTAACAGAAATCTTACTTATGATCCAAAGTGTTTCACAAAGAGCCTTTGCGAAATTTCACAATAATTCGTAATCTTACGCGTCATTCGAAAGCGGTTGGAATGTTCCCGCTTCGTGTTTCATCGTCATATTGCTCACGTTACTGCGAAATAATTTAGCTTTTTACCTGACAAAGGGATTTTGTTTTAAGAATCTTACTTAATGTCTGTATATACATGCTTGCACGTATATAGATATATTTGTGCCCATTATACATACATAAATATGTTCTTTGAAGTATGATACATACATAATACAATAAGCGAAGTTGTGTCTTAGTTCTCACTATCTAAACTATATCAATACGAAAATATACAATAACATAGAAGGTTATAAATTACAAGTAAGGTTAAAGAAAAAACATAGTTTCTAACCCTGATATTCTATTCGCAGCGAGGTTAGCCAAACAATCGTTAACGCATATAGAAAACTGTAACAATGAAAGAAATCTGACGTTAACATTAAAAACAAATTTGAATTAATTTAAAAAAAAAAGACTAGCAATCGTTGGATAATAATACATTAAATACTTCTTATATTTGGAAAATTAAAAAAAGAAATAAGTTAAAAGATATTTTATTTATTTTTATCACAAGACGAGAGATAGTAACACAATCTTTCTTCCAAATATTTATTTGCAATGACGAAAATTTTGAAGAAATTGTGAGCAATATTTTCTAAGTAAGAAGTATCCATCCTATAATTTAATAATAAGCCAGCCATTTCCAGAGTAACGTCACTTAATACATTTTAAAAACAACTTACGTGATGAATAAAATTTACGAACAAGGAAAAACTTGTTTTTATTAGTAACTAACTTTTATTTTGATTTTTATACATTTCAATTTTACGAAATGCAAATCATCCGATACATTAACCAACATGCAAATGTGTCCCGAATACGTGTGGAATACGTAATTGGCGTAGACTTGCGGTGTACGGGTGCGTTATCGTGTACAACTATCAAATATTGTATTTTTTGTTGCATATTCTGACCGCGCATCTAATATGCCTTCCAAGTACCACACTTATATTATAAGTAGGTGTAATTGGTAATTCATACATATACGTCGTTTATTAAATGAATGCCGCTATCGTTACCATTAGTATTTTAAAATCCACTGCTGAACACAGGCCTCCCCCTTTTGATTGATTGCCTTGTAAAGGGGGGGGGGGGTCCTAGCAGTTTATTTTTTATTTTTAGGCGTTATTAGTAAAACACCGCTGCCCATCTCCTGTTTGTTCCTATCTGTCGTCTCCTGTGACACCCACGGGATGATATGAAGTACAGTGGATCCCCGGTAGTCCGACAAACACTTTGCAGGGCAGTATCGAACTATCGAATTTGTCGGATTATAGAGTACTGCCTAAGACACCCTATAGTCCGAATTGTTTTATATAATATATAATATATTCCCTGTATAAATCAGCCATAACGTTATTATTATATTATTTTATTATAAAATTCAAGCAATCAGAATCAAAAGAATACCCTGCGCGTCGAGCACAATAGTGATGTTGCGTACAAGTTGTAACTTGTTCAATCGTGCATTAGCGAATACATGTATGTAATAGACGATGTCGGATTATAGGGGGTGCCGCATTAGCCAGGGGCCGGATTACCGGGGCTCTGTAGTAGATATTCTTACACCGCCACTACACGGTTAAATGAATGCAATTTAACCTATTTAATCATTCAATGTTAGGCATTTTTTGATAATGTTGATGATAATGATGATGATGACGAACTTAATTCGCTCGAAAATTATATTAAATTGTTTTAAATTACTTCCAACCGATTTTCAACACAACTACAACCCCAGGGCCATCTTTTTGAACTCCATAGTAAAATGTATGAAACAGTGTGTACTCTACAGGCACACGAAATTGAGCCAGTATGCACACCAGATTACCCCCTAATGGGATAATCTTCGATGCACACGTAGTAACACACACACGCGTGAATCATAACGCAAAATCGCTACTTAATTGCTGATTACTCAGATATAAAAATATGATATCATTACTTTTAATGCCAACCCTATAAAGTGAATTTACAAGAAAATTATTTTCGAAAGTTATTTCACAAAAATGGGAGTTTAGAAATAACTTAGATCATGTTAAATAGTCGTATATTATCCAAACATGATAAGTGTATTAAGAGTTAATCAGAAGCTAGTAGGAATTAAACTTCACCCTTAATAAAATAAGGATTATTTTAAGCTTTCAGGTCTTAAGCCTTAAAACCATTCACGGTGTAATCGTATAAAAATATCAATTTATACTTAAATAAGACTGTAATGTTGCCTATTTGTAGATTAGTGTAGTGATTACGTTGTAAATAGTCTAGACTAGGCTCCAGTAGTCGTGGCTTAATAATGACCAAACTTAAGTTCCTTTGCCGATATTCTAGACCCTTTGATTCTTGGCCTATATGGCCATATAAATCTTGATAACACGAATACTTTGTAACCTTTTATGTCATGGTCCTGCATTTTAGTACAAGTAACTTATTACACAACGTATATCTGACATGTACCTCCATCCTTGCCATATAAAGCATCAGTGGTAATGGCGAAGTGGTAAACCAGACAGTTCTATTATAAAGAAAAATACAGTTTTGTAAAATATTATGTGATCGTACTGTTGTATTTTATTGTATTTATCTAAATACGATTAAAGCGTTATTTACTGTATCTCACAAATGAGGAAAACTTAATGATTTTACACCAATAACAGTTTCACTGCTTGCGATCGAATTCCTTGACTATGATTTTTTTCTCTCTCTCTTTTTATCTCTGTCCATAGAATCATAACAGACTTTACTGAATATATAAACTTATTAGACAATAATGAGTCTTTTCCTACGAAATGTTATTGCAATAGCTTTAGGATTAAAGTAATATAAATAAAATATAATATTTATACCAGTAGAACTACTAATTCACGGCCCCTTTACATATTGTAATGTTACTTAACCAAACTACTTACTAAGAAGGTTCTATATCCTGACAAAATAAAATACAATTATATTATGTACTTATAGAACGCACCGATAGGGATTTTTCACAACATCTTTGAATATCATTTTTATAAAAGAAATAACCCAGAAATTTTAATATAAGTAATTTAAAGTACAATATACTATTAATTTTAAAGTATGTACATGTTTAAATATTTACAGTTTAGGTGTGTTCATACAATGACATAGTTTTTCGAGGCAGTTAAACTGCAAACTGTTCTTTAATCACACTTAAAGACCAATTTGTTACTGCTCATAATGTTCGTAAAGTACTTGTAAAACGCCTTTTAATAATAAGTTGTTCGCTAAGTGTGGTATTGAATAAGTTTTAAAGGCCAGCTTTAGATATAGCAGACGTCGGTATAAATGTGAACACAGCTAGTTTTTCTTTAGCAGATATTTTCACTGTCTTTAAATTATTTACAAATAATGAATCTGAGAAATATTCGTTATCATCGATTGCATTT